AGGCCACAGCTAGCCTGTCCGAGGCCACGCAGCCTTGGCATGGCCTGGGCTGCCACGTACGGTGCTAGCAGCCGAGGCCAGCCTCTTCTTTTCTAGGCTTCCGAAGGCGACGGCCCCCCTCAGACGCTTCTCGGCGCCTCGCAGAGTGCAACCTTATTGGCATTGGCATCTCCACCTTTGTGGGCTTTAGCACAGGCCACAGTTAGCCTGTCCGAGGCCACGCCTAAGGCTAGAACACCCATCTTCTTTCCGCAGACGGGCAACCACCGGAACGACACTAACGCCTTCAGTTACACATGCTACACTCCTCTTGAAAAGGGGTCGGCGGCACCCGGGCGAAGCCCTTACAATTTGGAATCACCCTTGCCTGGATTTTTAGAGCTGCCGCAACTTGTCTCCTCACCGAAGGGCAACATAGCTCAAGAGGGCATCATTGCTCAATGCTGAACATGTTAAAAGTGTGTTCAATTTGTTTGGTTTGCAAATGTCACAGCAACATCTCCTCCTGTGGGTGCGCGACAAATGTCCTCGCACCAAAGCCTGGAGCTTTGTTGCAGACTCATCCGCTATCTGACTGATGTGCCTCGGAGAGATGGCCATAAAGGCTCAGAAAGGGCTTTTGCTTGACAGGATTTTAAGGTCCGGTCACCTCGTCACATCTGCGACTCGTTCAGAACCGAATTCCATGCATCAAGCAATCCGGTGAACACCGGCCTAAGAATGCCTGAAAAGGCTAGAAGTGAAACCAGAGGTGATCCGGTCCAGTGTATATATCTGTATCTATATATATATATACTATTCATGTGAAAATATATATATATATGAATTTGAATCATGTGAAACTATTCATACTATTCTACAGCTGTGAATTGTGATGCCAGGAAATTGAATCCTTCCATGTGGTTTTGGAAAGGGTTCTACTACTCGTCTATACTTAATATTATGTGTCTCTGTGTGTGTGCAGGCTGAAGCGGGGGGAAGTTAGAACCCTTCAACTCCGCGGCGTCGTGCGTTCCTTCAACGCGCGCCCGACATGGCGCCAACTGGGAATCCCAGCTTTCGCAACTTCATCCGCACGATGGCGCCTCGCACGAGCTTCTGAATGCGGACCGCTGCGCTGTACCTAGGGACGGGAAGGCCCGGCTGGGGTGTCACCCGAAAGCGGAACAAGGAACTCAATCCGACTGAGTTTTGGATGGAGGTGTGAACACTTCCAAGGGCTCCCACTCTACGAAGGCCCGGCGAGCTGCATAAATGACCTCGGATTTGAGGCTCCCACGGATTCAACGAGCAACGATCCAGCCACAGGGTATTTGAACAGAAAACCCCTGGCTGGTGAGTTTAAGGCTACCTCATGGAGCATATCTCAGATTCTTGCCCGAAAAGCAGCCTTGCGCTTGCCGTCGAGGATGCCTGAACTTGCTGCCCAAGTTTAGTGTGATGCACTAAGCTCATGAGTCCATGAGTCCATGAGTCACAAAGCTCATTCCTCTCCAGCAAAAAGGGGTACCGGTGATTGATTGGATGATCCTTTGTGATCCACACTTGGTGTGTGTGTCAATCGGCGCCTCTTCAGAAGCTTGGGCACCAAAAAACCCAACGAAGGTCGGACGAAGGTCAATCGGCACGCTTCGTCCCTCGCACGAACGGGTCTCAGGGACCCGGTGGAGAGGGACTTGCGACTCGTGCAGCTGTGCCTTCGTCACAGATTGACTCCTGGCAGCTCATGGTCACCCAGGGTCCGGTAGAAAAACGTGACAAGCAGACGAGTTCTTGTTCCAGGTGGTTCGGGGCAGCTGGGGTCAAAGTAATTCTGGCGTTCTTGTCATGAATGTTCGATGATGTGCATGAATCACATCCGATTCTCACCCTACCCACATAACTCCCAAAACATTATCCCTGGACTGGCAACCACTGCCATGTACCAGACCATGATGTATTGTAAGGTGGCAGGTCCTCTTGGCTGCTTGATCTGCTTGTGTTCTATTGTCTTTTGTTAAAGAAAATTTCTGCACTCGAACTCGGTCAACCAAGCCCCTGATCATATGGTCCCTCCACCCGTAAACAGCCTATGCAAAAGCCAGGTGTACCATGGTGTACCTATACAGGATCTGTCCTCCACATCCCGTTCCCACTGAACGGGATTTACACCATTCACGTAAGAAGAAACGCTTCAAATCACTCCCCTTTCGCCCAAAGTCTTCATGCCGAAAGCTCCTCTTTTCCCCTGAACCATGCCCTCTCAGCGTCAGTAGTACTTTGCCCACTGCCACTCCACATTCACCTACGAAACGATCGTCTGCCAGGACTCAGGGCGCTTGATTTCCTCAAGCCAGTGACTAACAATGCGCAAGATGCGCTCGTGCGCTTCTTTGATATCTGGAGTATCCTCCATGCTGGCGTGCGACAGCTCGCTGTGATGAGCTCCATTGGGCAAGTTGATGGCCAGCAAACCTTTCCTCTGTTGACTTGGATAGTTATGGTGATACCACGACGAGTTTGTCACAAAAGGCATGTTTTCTCCTTGGTCAATGCTTCCACTCAATGCTAAATGTAACCAAGAATTTTTATCCAAGGCTCTCAGTGGAGAGATCCTGGAGGATGCCACCAACTGACCAGCCATCATTCAAGCCATTCACAAAAAGGATCCGTGAGGTTTGACTTGCCAAGTTGGAGACATCAAATCCCCAAAGGTCGACCAAGCTCGTGGGTTCAGGTGAGGCTCCGAATCTCTTCCTGCAATGCTCCGCGAGCCATTCACGGGTCCAGGGGTAAGAAGGAAACATCTGGTGTTCGCCAAAACCAATTTTCTCCACCTCAAACGTGCACGTCTGGAAGTCCCACCTCAGAGACACCAGCGTCTGGAACAACGGTCAATGTGTTCGACTCCGGAAAAAGGCCAGATGTGACGGTACATTCTTTCAAAAGGCACCGGCCACTTCCTGTACATCTACCAGGCTGCCGAAGTTGTCCAAAAACAGTTTAGCTAAAGGATTCCCGATCAAAAACAGAGCTCGCCGAAAGGAAAAACGTTCCGCCAAACGAAAAACGCCATGTGACATCTGACCACTGCGACCATAGCCACAGCCAGACCAATCACCGCATCGAGCAGTGGCAGAGTGGCCAGCCGGGAGATGGCCCGAGAGGTCAAAACCTGGTGGACTGGTCGTTCGCGGACCCACGGTGGATGGGTCGGGCTGGTCACAACAGGCTCCCAGGTCGCTAAGTGAAGTCCGAGCTGGGAACATCTCCGAGGCCATTCTGTAAGACACCCATGTTTCGATGTTGGGTTCCTTTCAAGATAAAGAACACCCCTCTTTCAAGGAATTGCGTGGATGTTTTCTGGTTGCCTGATGGTTGTGATCTCCGAGAACCATTTTTGGACTTGAAACCCGCACTCTTCAACCTATTTGTTCCTTATTCGTGAGTCCAGGCATGTCCGGCCACTCAAAATTGAGAAGGCACATGTTCATTGTGGACTCCAAACACAAAAATCAACTAGTAGCAAGAAGCTACTAGGAACAAACGGCATCGCTACGAACGGAGCAAGGACGCTACGGGGGGCTCCTGGCCTTACTACTAGGAACAAGACGCTACTAGTAACAAGGACGCTACTAGGGGCTCCTGGCATTGCTACTAGGAACAAGAAGCTACTAGTAGCTCCTGGCCATACTACTAGTAACAAGAAGCTACTAGTAACATGCCTTCTCTCTCGCGTGCGATTTGGGCTTCCGAGCAGGTGCTTCTCGTGGACAAATGGCCCATGAAGCCCAGATGTGCTCGGCCACTCTGGAGGCCCTCATGCTGCAGCCTGGACCACCGATGGAGTCGAGAAGCACAGCAACAAAATTCGATCAAAACATATCAAAACACAAACAAAGAAGAATCTCGGTGGTGGTCCCACTTTGGGAGCCCCATCCTTCACTGGTCCCAATATGTATGGTCCTTGCATTTTTTCTTTGCTGTGATGAAACCGCGTCATGTTCCTTGGATGTGATGCGTTCGGATCCAAAAGGGTGCCTGGTCTCTTGCAGCAGGAGCTCTCGCATCGCCGTCAGCTCACTTCCATGAGCCCGTGCTTGAAGGAAGAGCTTGCACGTTCGGTCGAGGCCTGAGAAAACCATGGGCAGTGTGGGATTCAACGTTCGGTGGGCCTCTGTTCTGCTTAAGCGTATTCAGACTGTATCGGCTGAACGCCTGGGCCATCAGTCAAAACCACTTGTGGAGCGGATTTGACCCCTCTGGATTTGTGGGGGTTCGCGTTCATAACAAAAAAATAGGTCCTGCCTGTGCCAGAGTTTGGCGGATAGTTCGCCATGTTGAGATTCGCAAATGTTTGTTCTGCCAAAAAAAGCAAGTTGTCAGGCAACGCAGCAGGTGCCTGTATGGGCTCGCATACTGAGAACTGCTCTGCGATTTGGCTCGTGTTGGCCGTTCTGAAGAACTCCACCATCTTGTTGAAGGCCGCCTTGACTGCCTCTGGACACCCTTTGGTGGACCTCTCCGCAGATTCAGTCACCTTAGCATAGTAGTCATACTGTGAAACTTGCTGAGAATAAAACTTCAAAGGTGCTGATGAGGCATAAGCCATGTCTACCACAGCTGGATATCTCATGCGCATCATCGCAGCGAGAAAGCCCGGATAGGAACCTCCAATCACCATCACTGGACAGTATTCTTCCGTGCCACGGTCTCCGCACTGCCGAATCGATTGAATGCTCCGAATCAGCTCTGCAGCATCTGCCAGGGCTTCTTGCGTATTCATCGCCTGAGGCTTCGGGTGTATCCGCCCAAGAATCATGGGCCGGTTGAATGCATGCTCTTGATGCTACTCGTGGGAAAATGCTATTCAATTTTCATGGAAGATTGCAAAGCAACACAACTTCGCAAGCCTGGCAAAACACCATTCACTGATCAAGATGAGATTCTGCTTTCAAGTTGGCCACCAAGAAAGAGTCATTCCCAAATGGCAGCGACTCGCCATAAAAGCGGTGCTCTGGCTCCAAAACCAGGCCACGGTACTCTTTGGCCAGAGTGTCAATGACCCACGGATAAAAGATGCCCGTCTCGGGGCTGATAGCACCTTCACCCCCCATGATCACGAAGATTGGAGAGCCTGGCCCCGCCCAATGGGAATCTTCCATGTAATATCTCTGCTGAAAAGTTGCATTGGAGGACGCAAAATGGCTCACCCTCTGCTGGAAATAGAGTGGTTTCGAAGGCACTCCCAAGCAAATAGATAGAGTCCAAAAAAGACACAATCCAGGCAGCATGAAGCTCGGAAGAGCGCCCAAGGGCCGTTGAACTCTTTGAGCACTGCAATGTGAATCGTTCAAAATTTATCAATGTGAACCTCAATCCCGACCATGCACCTGCTGGAAACATCTTGGGAGAATGAAACAATGCTCCACGCAACACATCGTTTTGTGACCTTTCTCAATCACTTCGAAAGAAAGCCTCCCCGACCCACCGGGGTCCCACCAGACCTCCAAGGCCCTCTGGCGTCGCAGCTCCCAAGCCAGCTCCTGTCCCATGATCAATCGAAACCAAAGGATCCAACTCGGATCCGACCCAAAAAGAATGAACGGCCACATCTCCCTGTGCAGGTCTGAAGAAAGGGATCCAAATCCAAGGAACTCCCCAAATGGAAGACGTCTGCTTGGTGCTTGGAACCTCCCTTGATCGGTCTTTTTCTCCGGAGAGCACCGAAGCCCCGTTGGGTGCTTGGTACTCGTGGGGTACCCACGAAGGAATTGAGGAGTTGGGCGTGACGACTGGGGGATGACCGCACCGAGACCGGCTAGCGGTGTGACTCCGAGAAAGCGGTGTGACTCCACTGTGGCGCTGCCTTGAGAGTCCACTGGCGAATGAGGAAGCCTCGAATCCTGGCCTGACAGGCTTGACAGGCTGGAACAAATCTGATCACTAAACATGGGGTTCGAGGTACAGTCGTGTCATCATCAGTCTTCTTAATGTTAAGTTTCGCTGGAGTTATGATGAGTTATGATGAGAAGAGCCAAATGAGGCTTCCTCGACATTAGGCTTCTGATTCACCTCAGGCACTTGCTTTTGCAACGTGTTTGCAGTCAAAGGATCACAATATACAGCAGGCCATCTCGCCACCTCCGCTTGGTTGGTATTACCAAAATCTGAAACAATAACTTAGGATATTTATCAAAATTGCATACAGGTGTGTACTGGAAGAAGGAGATGTTCAAATCAAATGTTTTAGTCTATATGTCCTCTTCCAGAGGGTCTGTGGTGGTCTCCTTATTCTAATACAAAACCCACATCTTCCTGCCGCTTCGGCCTGGATCTTGGTTGCAGCCTGATGCTTCTTGCCATCTGTTGGAATAGGCAAGCCCATCTCTCGACGCGTGTCAAGCCTGGGCAGGGGAGCCTGTTGCATGTGTTTGTTCACCCTTCTGTTTGAACTAAAGTGCTGTAACCTTTTTTACTAGAACGGGTGTCTGCATGCATTTGCTTGCCTCGTGAGAATGAAAGGATCTACGGTGCCTCCCTATGGTCACAGGAAGTTCGAGACTCGTCCAACCAAAAGAAACAGGTTCTCTTCAATTGTTGAGAAAATGAACATCGCCGGTGTAGCCACGTTGTAGCCACGGTGTAGCCACGGTGTAGCCCGAAGTTTCAGGGAAACCCAAACGGATCCCATCGATGCAGAGTCGCAGAGCTCTAGAACACCCATCCGCCATCCACGGAACGCGCCTGTCACGGAAGACGCAGATGGCGCGCATGCGTTCAGGCCTGGACGTGTGAGGGTTCTGTCTTTCAGCGTGTTCAGAGAACACAGGCCGGCCCCAGTTATGGATGGGTTGGTCTTTGACTTGACCTCGGAAGGCCTTTGTGTGCTGGTTTCCGCACATCATTTTAAGGCTTTCGTTGGTTTTCGTGGAGTTGAATTAGGTACAACGAGCCAGCAAGCCTTGAAATGCTCTTGTGGAACACGCAGTCTGCAGCTTGCTTTGGGATAAACCAAACGCTTGGCTGTCTCGCTCAGGCCCAAACTCCAAAGCGGTCACATCACCCTGGAGCTGCAACCTGGGAATTCGTAGGAGGCTTGAACGCTATACTCCTTTCTGGAAGGGATTGCCTTGAACAGTAGGCAGGATCGCGGAATGTCTGCACATCTGGATTTCCATTGACCCAGCCTTCGAAGATGGTATTCCGCTGCAGCAACCACTTCGGGCCTCAATCACACTCTCAGCTTGCAGCTCTTCAGCCCATTCTGTTCGGTCACATCCTTCAGAGTGGCAGAGTGTTCATCTCTTCGTCCCATCAACACCATCGTCCAACGAAGAAAAAGGAAGAGCTCCACCGAAAAGGCCAACGAAAAAGCCACCGAAGACTACTTACTCCTCTGCCCTGATACGTCACAATGCATCCCTGTCCGCTCCCCTTTGCCCTGAAGGCGCCGGGCGGAGCCCCAGGCCTGAAAAACATGCAGAGCCATCACTCATGGGCGCGAAGCCGCGTTTTGGGGGAAGACAGGCCAGGGAAGCGAAATGCCTTACCTTCCGACTGACTAAGATGGAAGTGGAAAACCCCCTGTTCGGAAAGGAGAGTAGTCGTCCATGGGGCCATTGTCCACTTCCATGTCAGAGCTCAGCTGGTTTGATCCCTTACTCCGATGCCGATATCTATCTCCCCAAATGATCAAATCCCATACTTACCTGCCAGGGATGGGTTTTCTTCCACCCCTTGGGAGATGTGGCAGCAAACACACTGGTGCTCCAAAGATCGGCTGAAAAGCAAGTCAACCTTGCCCTTAAGGGCTTGAAATCAAGGGTTGACCGTTTGCCTGCCTCACATTCAAGGGAAAGAGATTGAGGGCATTGTCCTACTTAAGCAGTCCATGCTGGGGACACTTGACAACCAGACTCCAAATCCTGAACGTTGACAATGAGGTCCCCAGCGGCACCCGAACACGCGAGGGCCTCAGGCATGCGGGCCTATGATCAGAAAGTCCTACAGTAAATGGTTTGTTGCTACTGAAAAGCAGGCAGCGTTTTCCACACCTATGTTCATGTCATTTCTATTCATGTGTTGGAGGCAACCCGACCACAAACCAACCATTGCAAGGATTCCGCCCAAATAGCCTCGTGCGTACTTGACCCTTTTCTTCAGCGTGACACCAAAGATTATACCACTCTGAAAAGCAACGAGGGTTCCAGCAACCTATCCCACAAAGGGAAAAGATCAAGTGGTACACCCTGAACCAGGTATACGATATTATCAATGCATCTTTCATCACCATGGCACAACAATGCGCGGCCGGAGCCGCCAACAAATTGACCTCCGTCCCGCTTTTTCGCTCCTTTCGCTCAGCCAACCCCAGGGCGTCCGCTTTTTTGGGGTCGCTCCCCCTCCATGCCTTGATATGGACACCAAGCACACAACGGTGTGCTGAAACAGCATTTGCTCTCAATCACTTCGTCCCTGCAACCAGTTTTGATCGTCACATCTGAGGCGGGATATCCAACACATGTGATGCAATAGCCCTCCTCCAACTCTTCTTCAGTCAAATACACTTGCTCACTCTGATCCATGTGACCGGACAGAAGCTTTCCAATACATGCTGCACAGTTCCCATAACGACACAAGCTAGGCATTTCAATGCCCTGCTCTTCTGCCTGCGCTAAGACGTATTCATCAGCAGCACACTCGAAACTCACACTTTCCTCATCCGATTGCAGGGTCACCTTGTATCGTCTCAGGGTCACCTTGTTCTCACGCGTGAAAACTCGACGGGACACACCCGTCCAGAGTCGGCGCTGATAGACGTCGCTGACGGTCCCAAAAAGAAGCAATACTTTGCAGAGCCTGGCCATGGTGCTCTCTGGATAAAAAAGGCTCGAGCCAAATTCAGAGAGCACCATCAGCTTGCTCGCTCAGCTTCTACATGTGTCCAGTCCAAACGCTCACAATCCTTTCTCCGGGTTCTGAGAGCCGGGCACAAGCTTCCCCTGTCATGTTGGACAGCAGTCAATACTCCACCATCTATGAGGCTGAGAAAACAACTGCAACCACCTCAGCTTTGGAATGCCAGGATGATTTGGAAAGCCCTGCGTTTTCATTCCAAAGAGCGACCAGCGACCAGGACGCAACGAAGCTTCCACCCACCCGAAGCCTCAGGTGACTTGATCTCGGGCAGCCTCACAAAGATCAGGTCACTCGCAAAGGAATTTCTTTTGACGGGAAAACGATGGGCGGAAAAGGTGGTAGAATGGAGTACCAGCTAGCAGCTAGTAGAAACATGTAGAAACCAGGCATCCGTCTCTTTTCGGTTCACTGACTCATGCTTCTCTACAAACTTCGCCAATTGGATCCGCTTTCTCACCAACCCCTTTTGAATGTGGAGAGAAGAAAACGCACTGCAAGCTCTCCGCTTCGCCTCAGGCGTGCATCACCTGCCCAACTGTTGCCTGCACGGCTGAGTTCGAAGAGGACCCCTGTCGCCCAAGTTCAGTCAATGTGGTCGAACATCTATGTCGCCTAGTTTCAATTATCCACATAGATCCACAACAGACACAACAGAGAACGACGACCCCGCTCAAGAATGGCGAAACGGCTTCTGCTACCTGCACTGCTACTGTTGAGTTCCTCTACCAAGCGACCATCAGCCTGTGGTACGAGGGCTACTCCGGCGCGTCTCCAACATGGGCTGGACACCGTGTGCCTCCAAGACAACCACTCACCAAGTGACACATCTCACAAGAAAAGGCTAGGCATCTAGATACTCCTGGCATTGCTTTCTGCAAGTTGCCCTGACTCTGACTAGTTGCCAACCAGAAAATCCCTTCTAGTCACCAGTGAATCGACGCACCTGCTGGCAAAGCATGGGCGAGCCAGCAAAGCCATCCGAGTGCAGTAACTTGGGGTGAGATTCCCACCAGCCTCACAGAGCGGAGCTGCTCAGCGGAGCTGCTCAGCGGATCATGATTTCGGCTCGCGAGGGATCAGAATGAGGCCCTTACCCAAAAAGATCTGAATTCTCCCTCCAGATAGCCACAATCAGGCTGTTCCCTGAAACACCCAGGCCCATCCCAAGAGAGTCTACGTGACGTGGACGGACAGTCCAAGGCTTCCTTCGACCTGAGGCTCCTGCGGCTCGGTACTTCAGGCATTGCCACTTGGTGCCTCAAGACCAAGTCCCTAGGCTCTGAGGAGGTAGTTGTGTTGATCCAACTTGGATCTGCTGGTGACTGAGTCATGTTTCATATCATCTTTCATATGTCGCTTGTTCATAGAACATTATTGCATCTATCATCGGGTCAGAATCTAAGAATGTGCCACTGACTCTTGCGCCGTCTCTTTGGACCTTCGACATCTAGGCTTCACTCAGGTTTGGAGTTGCGCACGCCAAGACAGGCCCAAAGTGTGGTTTTTTAGCTGTCATCCTCTGAGCTCGAGGCGTCTTCAAGTACCTTTGCATCTTGGGGGTCAAACTCTAGGCAGAGCCAACATCTGTCTTGAAGCACTAAGATATATTCTGTTTGTTAAGAGGAAATGCCAAATTGCTGTCGAGCTCTTAATTTAGTTGACACTGTTTTGCAGAAATCCAGAGCTGCAACTTGACCTGTGTCAAGGATTCCGTTCAACTTCACCCGAACAATGAAAGTAGCTCCAGCGAGTCTGCCAAATCTACACATGGGTAACCCCAACATCATGCTGACGAATATTCACTAAGGTCAAACCAAGGCCATCTATCTGGGTGCAACCCCTCAGGCTCGCTTTCTCCAATCAATCGTTCAAAGTCCAACCCAATCTCGGCGTAAGGAATCGCAAATCGTTACTACTAGTAAGGCACTTGTTATGCCAGGGAAAATGATTCTCACCTAAAATGACCCATGAATCATGAGTTCCCGATCCCACCTGGGCCGTGGCCTGAGCGGCCGCTCTGGTGGTGGAGGCTCCGCTGGCCTGAAGACCACAGGGAGCAAGGTGGAGTTGGCAAAAACAATCAAAGAAAGAAAGAATCAAGTGAAAACAACTGGACATCTTGCCACCCATTCCGTTGAAATTGAAACCGGAACATGCCAGAGCTCTTCGACATAGCTACCTGGCTACCCTGATGATTGGGTGATCATTGCTTCTCTGCAATGACATGAGCAACAAGGAGTTCACATGTAGATGGAAAGCAACCATTGCTTTCTAGTCACAGAGTGTCGTCTCCAACGTCGGGCCGTTCCTGTGAGGTATCATGACTTTCCAACCAGAGAGAGAGTGGTGCCAGAGAGCGGTGCCACGTGACAATTAGTCACGAGTCGTCCTTCTTTCTCCTTCGTCTTTGGCCGATGTTAAGCAAAAAGTTCTGAAACTTCTCCCAGCTCTTGTATAACTGCATGCACTTCTAGCATCGCTGAATCTGGGTTCTCGGAGTATTGGCACTTCGTGGCACTGAATGCAGTCCCCGTACTCGTACTCTTCCCGTTCCCGCTCTTTCCAAGCCCAACACGGCCTCCTACACCGCAAGGTGATCTGCTTGGCATGGGAGAGGATCTCTTGTGCCTATGCCCGACATCTCGGATCGACGTCGCAGTGACGTATCGACGCGGCCCATTCGCACTTGGCGGGTCCGTCCTATCCACACTCTGGGGTCCCCCGACCCGCTCTGAATCCGTTTCGTCCAGAGTGACCTTCCGCCAAGGATGTGCCTCGTGATCCTGCCACGAGTTGGGAAAAGAAAGATCCAAAATCTCCACATCAGAGAATTAAATCTGCGAACGACCCTCCCAACCAGGAGGGTCTTCAAAAGAATGTCAAACGCCCCACAATCCCAAACTGCACCATGGGGGGCTCTTCAAGATCCCGAGTGGCTCCAAGCGCTTCTTTCCCCCATGCCGGCCCATGCCCTATGCCGACACCTGGAAGTGCATGAAGATATCTGAAACCTCGAAGTTCCCGGCGCTGGTGCGAAACTTCTCCGCAAAGGCCTTCTGTTGGAGCCGATCCTCCACATCCATCTGCACCTGGAAAAGATGGAAAAAGCCAACGAGGGAGAAGACAAAAAGAAGACTCCAGAGGCGCGCATGAGTGTCTGACTTCCGTCTGTTCTTCTAAACCTACATGAGTACTCACCACAGCTGAGGAAGGTCTCTCACCTAGGAGCTGAGGCAAAGAAAAAGACTCTTGAATCCTGATGGTCCGTAGAGAAAGAGCTGTGTTTTGAACGCAGGGCTCTTTTACAAACTCTAAAGGAAACTCGTCTGTTCCTGGGACCAACTGGGATCAACCACTGAGTTCACCGGACCAACCGCTGTTGAGCGATCTTTCCATATTTCATCGGCTTGGGTGCGGATTCCCCGCCTCACGCATCTTCTTGGTCAGTGTATGCGACCTTGAATCGTGAGTCAATACAGAAAGCCTACCCAGATCTGTGGCCCCAAAATATTGGCCCAAAATATGATCCTGTCTTCAAAAAATGGTGTGTTGACCAATCTTGAAACATTCCCAAGTTCGCTGAGTGAAATGGACTCACAAAGGGGAAAGTCCAGACTCACACAATAGCTTGAACGGTTCTGTCAGCCTGGGGCTACGTCTCGTTCAGTTTCCGGGCGGCCACTTGCACAGCCTTCTGCAAGCACTGTAGACCTGCCGTCATGCTACACTTGACGGAAAACATGTCAACTGCCCGGATAAGCTACAAACCGAAATGCCTCCTGTGGTGAGAACAGGCACGAACCCCTGGATGATGTGAGCGAGAACGATAGACCCGATTGGCAGCTCAAGGCAGCGCTTTAGTTGTGAGATTAGGCAGAAAAATTGTGAAAACATATCTGAGACGCCGTTTTACGTGGGTTGGCTGAGAATTAAGGCCCAGTGCTTCAATAGAAACAGGCTTTGTCAGGAAACTGTGCTGTTCCACGACAAGACCACGCCTGCCCCACTTTGCTTGAGACGCAGGTACTCCACAAACATATTGTAGTGTGCGACCTCTTTGCAAGAAGAATGGAGGAAGAGAGGCATGCGGCTGTGGCTCCTGTGAACAGTTGAGCATCTAGTAGTTCCTGTCTTGTGAAACATTGCATGCAGTGGTGCTGAATGAGTCCCGCACCACAAGCATCTGTGAGGTCTCTGCAGTTTCCTAACACATGACAGGACATCTCTCCCTTCTCAACCCGCCGACACATGACGAATTGATGTAGATAGTTATTTTAAAAAAATGCTCCTAACACACGAAAGGCCTACACCTCAGAGGCAACTCGCCTAAAAAACCGAGAGATCGATGGGGTTTTTCCCACATCGACATGTTTGGAGCACTGTGGCGGTGCCGATGTGTCAGGGCCTCTGCTTCCCGCTCTCGGTCGTGGAGTGCCGCCAATGCCTCGCTGAGCACTCCAAAGCTCCAAAAAGGACACGGTCGACCCATGACTGTGCAAGACCCATACCAAGGCCTAAAGTTCCCTGGTCGGTGAAGCAGACTAGGAGATGAGGGAATGGAGGCCCCCAAAAAAAAATATTGATGTCAACTGTTCCCATGGCGTGAATTTTTGATCTTGGGTCGACGACCCAAAACTTGCCTTCTCGATCTGCTCCAGGGCTTCGACACTGCGACCTGCCCGTGGAGCTCGGAAACGCCCGGGCTCCCGGAGCTCGTGACGGGCATGGGCCATGCGAAGGGCAGGTCGCACACTGAACCAACTCCCAACAGGCAAGAACAGCCGAAGCGGGGCGTCTCACCTGTGGTGCTCAGGAGTACCGCATAGTTCAGGTATGTCCGCGCCTCGATTTGACAAGAAGCCGCATTGAACAAGAAAAGGAAACTACGTAGCCTGGCCGCTTGGCAGCGACATTCCCAGTTCGTATTGTTTTCTCCTTTGACTTCCGGTCCCATACATGCTTTAAGCGTGACACTCGGAGCACGCGCCAGTTCTTCGCTTCTTTCGGACCCATCAAAAGTCAACAAAAAGCTGGCTCAGTGATTGAGTGCTGAGCTGAGATTGAGGCCAAATTGTCACCATCTTTGTAGTGCTGCTCAATCTTGAGGCAGCGCTCGGCAAACCTCAGGAGGTTGGTGCCTTCTTCTTTAGGATTGACCTATGCAGGGTCAAACTGGGAGGGACGTGCAGGTTCAAGGCGGGCTCAAACTGGTTGTCACAGTAAAGCACGTTGTGGATGTTGTTGATTGACAAAACCCCTGGATAGGAAGAGGTGTTCAATCCTAATAGTTTGTTGAGCATGTTCAAAAACCAACCAAGCACCCAGCTGCAATGCTGCATTCTGCTTCCCACGGCTGCGGTAGTAGCCTTGGGCAAACAAACAAACCATCTGGACATGCTGCAAACCAGGTTCCAAGGCCGCTTTAGTTTGTCAGGTTGAATGGGTATGATGGGTTCGTATGTATGCTCTTCAAAATTGGCAGCGCCGTAGTGTGCTTATAGTAATATAGTCAAATTCATGTTGTTCGGCAGAAGTGCTCCTCCAGCCAAGCTGCAGCAAAGGTTGTTGAAGGTGACGGCTCGGAGAACCACTCGCCGCTGATAGTTCGGGACATTGTCAGCTTCCGTCATTGCCTCACGAGCTGACCATGTGTGTCTCGGAACGCTTCCGTGTGTCGCGAAACTAGATGTTGGGAACGGTCTGATGGACCGATTGTTCTTACTTCTGGAGTGTTACCTGCATTCGAAATGATTGAGGGGACCTTGACTTTGTTCTGGAGCAGCTCCGGACGCGAATTCGCACGCAATTGGCAGGCCCCAAGATCAGCCTCTGCTTTCTTGAGCAACTCCAGAGCAGCCGTGAAGCTACCTGCAACAAATGACGAATGAATTGCCCGTTTCATCTCTTGCAAACGGTCGACGTCTGATTCGATAACCAAGAGGTACAGTATGATTCGGAAACCATGATTCGGCAACCAAAACCGCTGATTCAGTAACCAGAACCGCTGATTCGGCAACTAAAACCGATGACTCGATTGAGTAACCAAGACCGCTGATTCAGCAACTAAGAGCGTTGATTCGGTAACCAAAACCCCATTCCAGCCATATGCTGCAAAAACTGTTTTGTTTGAATGAATTTCCACACCCTTTGCAACCTGAATTGTAGTTGCTGCATTGTCTGGCTTGGTTTCTGAATCGGCTAATGACCCTTGCAATTTGTAGAGTAGTAAAGAGCCTGTGCTTGGTCTAACTCATTGAAGCCAATCAGTAGTTAGACTGTAATGAAGGCTTTGCATCTATTGTGTTCGCCACAGACTTTGCGGTGCTCTTGATCATCCAAATGTCTCCTGCACTTCCAAACGATTTGCCGGATTTGACCGCCGCACACCCAAACGAATCTCACCCAAGGGAGCACGCCCCTCGCCTCTGGCGAGACATTGCACGCTCCAGTTGTTGCATGAAGCAACCTCAGCAGCTCAACGGAGACGGTGCTTTACCGTCTAGTAAACCCGGCTGTCTTAAACCATGACCATAATCTCATTACCGCTCTCCCATGTCACATGGACGAGAACCCCCGTTCACCCCGCAAATGCACGCCGCGAGGCGAATCCAGGAACGGAGACCAGTCTGATGCAGACTCCCAATGTGTCACAGGACAGGTAGAAAACTTTGACTTTAAAGTAGATCAGAAAAACCACATGTTGTTCTTTTGTTGTAAATGATTTGATTTGTTAGCAAAGGATTGATTTGTTAGCAAAGGATTGATTTGTTAGAGGATGAATTACAGTACACATATACAACAATTAAAGTTAGATCATATGATTCACAAACAATTGCTTTCCAGGGGGGCCCGAAAAGTCCGCGAGCCCATATATATATATATATATCCAACTGGGATGGCCGAGAGGTGGCGTAGGATGCCCAAGTCAATC